TAAGTGTGATTGCGTGTTAACCGCGTTGTACACGACTTCTTTTCTTTTCTGATTCCTTCTTGAATCTAAGTCCTTCGTGACTTGGGTGGATGTTTTGATTCCTTCTTGAATCTGAGTCCTTCGTGACTCGGGTAGGTGTTTGAAAACAATAACGTTGGGTTAGGCAACCGGGCTCATAACCTGTTAGAACAAGGTCTCCTCTGGTGGTATGACTACCATAGGCGACCGAGTAGAGGTACGAAAGGTAACCCTGTATTGGATTGAACTTCACTAAGAGCTATTGTTCTATCTACTTGTTGTTATGATGATCTTAGGACGTACATGACAGATCATCATTCCGCGTCGGTCCTTCTGCTCGGGCTTACTCCACGAACCTCACCTCGCCGACCTGGACTGAACCTAACATATTCTTAACAAGTCTACATAATAACGTGCCCGTGCGCAGCGCGCACGGATTCGCAGCGCGCACGCCGAACACCAAAACACTGAAACACCTACAAACTTCAACGCGTCATAACTCAACCAGCATGGCAGCTATTGACAAAGCGTTAGCAGCAATCGAATCGCGAGAGCTTGGAGATAAAATTGTATACCAGCAATATGCTGATAAGTACAACGTATCAAGGAGTGCGTTGAGCCGAAGACACCGAGGCGTTTCACGCTCGAGAGCCGACTATACAGCCGACAAACAATCCCTCGCGCCACATTAAGAGCTAGAGCTTGTACGGTATATCACTAAGCTTACCAAGCAAGGCCTACCCCCTACAAGGGAGATGATTAGGAATTTCTTATCAGAAGTAACCCATCAGCAGCTCAGCGAGAGCTGGGTTACTCGCTTCATCAACCGACACGAGATCCATCTTATCTCAAAGTGGACCAGCGCCATAGATCGTACGCGCCACCTGGCTAATTCTGAGTCAAAGTATAGACTCTACTTCGAGCTGCTGCATAGAAAGATCATCCAATACCACCTAGAGGCTCGAGATATATACAATATGGATGAGAAGGGCTTCTTGATTAGCTTAGTAGGCAGAAGCAAGAGGATATTCAGCAGGCGTCAGTGGGAGAAGAAGGAGGTTCGAGCATCTCTCCAGGATGGATCACGCGAGTTTCTGACAGTCCTGGCCTGCTGCTGCGCTGATAGGAGCTCGCTGCCTCCAGCCCTTATCTACGCAGCTAAGAAAGGAGCTATACGATTAAGTTAGGTAGAGGATATTAAGGCAGGAGAGTATAAGGTCTTTATCTCATCATCTCTAACAGGCTGGTCAAACGATGACGTAGGCCTAGCTTAGCTTAAGCAGGTGTTTGATCGCTATACAAAGCAGCGATCAGGGAGATGGCGATTGCTCATCCTTGATGGCCATGGATCTCATGTCACGATGGAGTTTATCGACTACTGTGATCGCCACAGGATCCTCCTTATAATCCTTCCTCCCCATTCAACCCACACGCTCTAGCCGCTCGATGTGGTGCTGTTCAAGCCACTCTCTCAGGCCTACTCCAACGAGCTCACTAACTATCTCTATAAGGCTCAAGGCCTCGCTCTAATCAAGAAAGGGGACTTTTTCCCACTCTTCTGGAGCGCCTGGATATCCTCCTTCACGGAGAGTCTCATATTGAAGGCCTTCGAAGCCACTGGGATCTGGCTAATGGACGCCAACGTTATCCTCCGTAGATTTGCCAGCACGCCAGAAGCTGAGAGAAGCTCATCATCAGGGCTCTCTGATCATGATTGGAGAAAGCTTGATCGATTAGTTCGAGCTGCTGTCACTGATAGCCATCAGTATGAGGCAAGAAAGCTACGCTCAAGCGTTCACCATCTCTCTGTTCAGAATGAGCTTTAAACCATAAAGTAGATAGTTTAGAAGAGGCTCTTCAACATAAAAAGAAGCATAAGAAGAAGGGCAAAGCTCTTGACCTTCAACAGCGCTAGGAGTATCACGGTGGCTCTGTCTTCTGGTCTCCTCGCAAGTTGCGTGAGGCTCGAGCTAGAGAAGCAGTACGGGAGCGAGATGAGACGGAGGAGAAACTCCAAAAAGCACAGGCCAAGAAGCAGCGTAAGGAGGCTCAGCTGCAGCGTCAAGTTGAGCTCGAGCAGAGGCGTGTGGAGAGGCAGAGGCTCAAGGAAGCGAAGGAGCTTGAGCGAGCTGAGAAAGCAGCTGAACGCGCGCGCAAAGTTGAAGCTCAACACCAGAAAAAAACTATCCAACAAGCTCAACAACGCAAGCGTAAAGCCTCACAAGTAACCTTATCAAGTAACAAGCGTCAAAAACGCGCTAGCGCTGCTCACGCTGGTGATCAAGCTCGAGATGGGCCATCTGCTGCTCTACCTAAAGTCACATTACGTGGTCGCAACGTCAGCCTCCCGCAAAAATATAGATAGTACAAGTTGATCGCAAGCATCTAATTACTGCTACATCACGTTTTTATCAATATTGAGCTATTGTGTGGCGTTGTACAGCCTCATTCTTGAGATTGAGCAGATGGTGTTCGGCGTGCGCGCTGCGAATCCGTGCGCGCTGCGCACGGGCACGTTAAGGTCTAGAGGTGTAGAGGTCTCCTAGGAGGTTGCTAATAAGATAGCGGCAAGCTTTTTATCCTCTCGGTTTCAAGACGCGCTAAAGGACTAGGTAATTGCTGACAACCAGAGCCTACGCGTAATAGAGACGCCGCAGTTTCGAAATATAATCGCGGCCGCAAGTCCCCTAGCAGAAGCTCTCCTTTGGCGTAGCCACTAGACGCTCCGCGATCATATTATTGCTAAGTACAACGCGTACGTACCAGCCGTTGCCGCCTACCTTCGCGAAGCCCGGTCGCTCATACACGTTTCCTTTGACAACTAGACCTCAACTGGCGGACGGTACGCTTTCACCAGCCTCTGCGTACACTACCTTAACGGCGAGGGCAAGCTAGTTGACCACTTACTCGGGTTACCTAAGCTCCACGGGGCGCACACTAGCAATAATATTGCCTCAGTAGCGGCGACAATACTGCGGCTATTTAGTGTTGACGACATAAGTGTCGGATACTTTGTGCTTAACAACGCAAGCAACAACGATACTGCAGTTAAGTCTTTAGCAGAGGAGTTCAACTTTACTACAAGCGAGCGGCGGCTGCGCTGCTGCTGCCACATCCTCAACCTAGGCGCGCAGTTAGTAATTTGGGGTAAAGATCGTAGCGCGTACGAGAACGACGCCGCTCACCTTGACGACGAGGAAAAGTACATGGATGAGTGGCGCAAGTACGGCCCTATTGGGGTCCTTTTTGACGTAATCGCGTCTATCTGCACGCCGCAAACTCGACAGCTATTAGAGCGCCTACAGCGTGACGAGGCAGAGGCGATAGGCGTTACAGCTAATATCCGGCAACTTGTTAAGCCTGTTAAGACGCGCTGGAATAGCTATTTCGACACTTTTGTGCGCGCAGCCGAGCTACATGGTCCTATCGACAGCTATATTGAGTTCAAACTCAAGGAGCACAGTGCCGCAACAGCACCATCACGACACCGGAAGAACCGCGAGCTGCTGCCTGCTGCGCAGCCGCGACTATATGTACGCGAGGGTGGCCTAAGCGGCAAGGACTGGGCGACGATTACGGAGTATATCCAACTCCTCGAGCCATTTGCGGAAGCTACACGGCTGCTTGAAGGCCGCGGCCGACACGGCCGGCACGGCGCTATATGGGAGGTTTTAGTAACGTTTGAATGGCTTCTTGACCAGCTTGAGGCTCTCAAAGACCGCCTTAAGGACATTAATTACGAAGATCCTGACGCGCCCGAAGACCATCTTGTTACGCACGTTAACCTTGCGCATAGTAAGCTTGCCGAGTACTACGAAAAATTCGATAACGCGCCTGTTTACTATGCCGCTACGATCCTCCACCCGCACTACAAAAACCACCTTGCGGCGCTCTAGAAGGTGCCTAACACCCATATCACCGCCCGCGACGGCGTCCACTATCGCGATGGCTGGCTTAATAATAACTATCGGGCGTTCTTGCGAATGTGGCAGGAGCGGAGCAACGCTGCGGTCGACGTAGCCGACGCAGTAACGCCGCCGCAAAAGAAGCCCCGGCTGGGGTTGTCATCGTCGCGATCAGCCTTTCTGCAGTCGTCGATTGAGACCAATCTGCGGCAGGTAGAGGCAGGTCTGAGGGAGGATGAATATGAGATCTGGAGGCGGCAACCGGCGTTAGCTAAAGAGGATCAGCTATCGCTTAACCCGCTGCTCTACTAGGAGTCAGTTGCTGGACAATTTCTATTACTCTCTAAGTTTGCTATTAACATACTCACAATACCGGCGGCAGCAGCAGACTGCGAGCGGACATTCAGCGAGCTTGGCGACATGTTAGGCACGCGGAGACTCCATATGAAGCCAGAGCTTGTCGCAGATTTACAGAAATTAAAGAGCTAGAAGAGGCTTGGTATACAGCCAGCAACCATGTCTACTTATGGGCCAGCAGGTGTACTATCAGAGGAAGAAATTTCAAAAATACAAGAGCAGCTATCCCAGTTTGATATTAGTTAATTTAGATTAGATCAGTCTAGGTCAGTTTAGATCAGTCCAGGTCAGTTCAGTCAGTCCACAGCAGCAGCAACGTCAGTTCAGTCCAGTCCAGTTCAGTGACCTTCAAACATCAGTTCAGTCAGTCCGGAGACCTCCGGACTGACTGAACTGACTGATAGCAAGTCTGATCGAGCCCATACACCTCGCACATAGATTTATGTAAGAATTGGATAGTATGCGTCTTCAGTTGCTATCCTTGATCTCCACCAATTCCAATACCTAATCTGAATGCCTGGCAGCTACATAGCACTTTTGCAGGCATAAAGGTAATCATCTTGCACCCTTTTCGCATATACATGATCCTTGGTTGCCCTCTTTTAGGTGTACAAGTGCTGTACCCAAGGGTTGTTCAGTCCTTGTGGCTGCATCCTAAGCCTAAGGGTTGTTTTGTTAAGGGCTCATTGCGAGAAGCAACAAATGATGAAGTCGCAGTAACTACTCAGCGTCTGAGACGTCGGTGATTTTGTGCTGATCCTCATAATCGGTGGCCTCGTCCGATAGTGGCATGGGGCGGAGGTTGCGCTCGGTGATGTTGATATGCGCGGTATGCGACGATTGCATGTTCGGCTGAGTCGCATTCTTTGTAGTTGGCAGTGATGCAATTCTGCTAACTGTCTTGAGCCCAGGGCTGTTCTCAATGAGCAGATGGACGATGGTGTCTTCGTTCTGCTCCTGTAGCTTCTGCTTCTCGGCAATGAGGTCATGGACAGTCGGTGGCTTATAGGTGGCAATAGCGGATAGCTTGACTTCCTTGAGCCGAGGTTTCTGGGCTTTCGGAGAGGGGCTGGAATTTTTGTGCTTCTTGTGGAAGAGGTCCTCTTCTTGTAGCTCCACCCAAGGCTCTTCTTTTTCAATGACTTCGGGGGTATCAGGCAGAGTGCCTCTAGAGATGACAGACTGTTCTCGGGAAAGGATGGCGATCATCATCTTACGAGTGATGGCATAACCTTTCCGAGTGACGAAGGTAGTCGCGGACTATCTGGACTTTGTTCCTACTGAGGTACTGTTGAGCGCGCTGCTTCTGGAAGTGATAGATAGCCTTAACGATATCTTTGGTAAGGAAGTCGTGGTTGTACTTTATGATGTGGGTCTTTTCGGAGCCGAAGTTGTAACGGGCCTTGAGAAGTAGCTTGTCGGCGATCTGGCGAGGTTGGCCTTTCGAGGGGGCAACGTGACCAACGAGGATACGAGCTTGGGGATGGAGTATGGACAAAGCTCAGGTGCGTCTGAAAAGTTTCAGGATCTGCTGCATACCAGCAACTAGTTTGGGATAGCCACCAGGCGTAGTGAAGAAGCGACTGGTGACAGTGAGACCTTGGTCGAGCTTATACGATGACTCCGTCTCTACCTCGGGATGTTCCAGGATAGCTCCTCCTGTTTCTGCAGTTTCCATCTCAGCGAACGCCACGCGCAGGAGAGGGAGAGGGACCATCACTGTGATATGGTGATCGGCCGGATACCGTACTGTCCCGGCATGTCCAGAGAAGTGGCGTCGACGAGCGATACCTGCACATCATTTCAATGGTTTGGCGAATACATGGTAGCTTGGACTTGGCCTTGGCTTCGTGAGAGCCATCGTTGCCGACTTTGCCGCCAACGTTGCTCTCGTTGTCGAGGTTTCAGAGATGCCGGGAACAAGTCGCGCATGTTACTCGCAGCAGCCGTGCCCTTAGGCTTCTTTCCATCCTTGCGATAGGAATGTAAGGAAGCACAGCTGTTGAAAGTATAGAGTGGGCAGCGAGAGAAGCGCTCCACGTCGCAGTCGTCGATCATGTCGTTGAATGTCCATAGTGGCAGGATTGATGGCAGTTGAGATTGCGGGATGTTGTGGAGACGATGTTCTCATGTGTAGCTCGAGAATATAGAATGAAGTTGAGGTGAAGGTTGTGAGCTGCATGGGAGTGTGCAGATTTTCTGGTTGAGCTAGGTGTACCGCGCCATTAAGGCGATGGGTTATTAGGTAGTACCTCGCAAACCGACAGCAATGCCGTGTGAAATGGCAGAGTAGTGTGTAGGATAACGATCCCGAAGTCGTTGCTGTGATCGTTCGGTATCGTTTGGGAGCGGTGGTTGGGGGTCGTCCCAATTTGCTTGACAGGTAATGGTGAGTGTGTGGAAAAAAATCAAAGTACAGTTCTTTAAAGTGCCCATATTTATGGACGCCGCAGGCATGGTGGCGACAGAAAGCTTGTCGTTGCTGGTGTTCAGGTGTGTGAGGCACTTGCCCGCACATTCGCGTGGTGACCAGTGAGCGTCCTTACGAGTTCGTGGTCTCAGTGGCAATCTGAGCGCAACTGCTCCTAAGAGCACTACACGCATGGTGACGGAAGAAAATTTGTCGGGTTGCTGATGCTTAGGATGAGTGAGATGCTCGTCCGCAAGTTCGTGTAAGATGAGTGTGTGGAAAAGAAAATCAAAGTACTGTTGTTTAAGTGCCCATATTTATGGACGCCGCAGGCATGGTGACGACCGAAAGCTTGTCATTGCGGATGCTCAGGTGTATGAGGTGCTCGTCCGCAGGTTCGCGTGGTGACCAAATGGCCACGGAAGCGTCCCCACGGGTTCGCAGTCTCAGGAACAATCTGAGCGGCAAATTGCCGCACGCATGGTGGCGGAAGAAAGCTTGTAAGGGCTGGTGCTTAGGATGAACGAGATGCTCGCCCGCAGGTTCGCGTGGTGACCAGATGGCCACGGAAGCGTCCCCACGGGTTCGCAGTCTCAGGAACATTTTTCGCGCAGCTGTGGTTCAGAAGCCGAGGAATTCATGTCTTTCCCGAAGGCAAGTCAAGTCGGATCTCTCGTAGGCAAGGAAATGCCATCATCCGAGGACTCTGTGACTTCGCCGGCTGTAGTCATTGGTCGGTGGTACGTTGGGCCGAGGAGACATGGGAAAGGAAACACTTGCTTCGGTTGGTTATGGTGACTTCAACAAAGAAGTGGAGATGTAGTTCCAGTCCGTTCGGTGATGTTGCGTTGTAGTTGCCATCGGTGGCTCAAGCTCAGTAACGGAGCCTTGTTGTGTCGCTTGCTTCCCTTTCGAGCGAGCAAGCCTTGTCTGTAGCCTTCAGGACTCAGTGGCTTGAGAGGAGAAGGTCGAAGGACAGTAGAGTGGGAGGAAATTTTGTTCGTCTGTCCCGTGGTGCCGATTCCGAACTTTGCGAATCTGTTCGTTGGCCTTGTCGTGGGTATGGTAAAGGTGTGTCCTCAGTTGCGAAGTGATCCATCGTTCCCGGCTCATTGGCAAGGCCATAGTGACAATGCCGCTAAGAAAGTAGTAAAAGGCTTCGCGTATACCAAGGTCCTACCGGATTGTAAATCGGGGTTTGAAGGTGTAACTTGAAGGTGTAGTCTAGACGCGCATAGTGGCGGAAATGGTTGCGCCATGATGGCACCATACTTGACGGTTTTACATACCGCGAGGGAGGTTGCCCTCCCTCGCGGTGCGGATCGAGGTCTTCGACGACGAGCGATGGTTTTCGGTAGGTGGCGGCGGGCAAGCTTTTTATGAGCAGGCACTGCTGGGTAACGCCAAGCCGCTAGTTTGTATTGGGTAATATCGGGTAACACAGGGCATGGCCGCGCAAGGTGAGAGTCTCGCTCACTGCGAGAAGACTCAGGTAAAGTTGGTGAGCCGGTGATTGATAAGCGGGCAAGTGAAGACGTGACACGAGACGAGTGACCTGAAAGGTTGTATGTTTGCATTCATCTACGAAGCCCATAGGCACCATTCATCAGACTCCGCAACAATCAATCGGATCGGCATGATTGATTCCTATCTAGGTTAAAGGCTGCCTAATGAAGTAATTCTTTAACCTATATAGGAATCAATCATGTCAATCGATTGATTGTTGCGGAGTCTGCCATTCATCGAGTATATCCATGACGTCCAAAATCCCACATCATTAATCAAGTTGTAATATCCGTAAACCGACTGCCGAAAATGCCCTTAATTTGCCCCCCTCAAAGCGCCCTCAACTTACCATTATTGTACTTCCACAGCTGCTCCAAGCACACAGCAGCAGCCACATACTTCCAACTCTTCAAGTTCCTGTAGTTCTCCCACCCTTGAGTCTCCAGAGCCACCATGAAGCATGCAATCGAGCGCGGCAACGCCTCAGTGTCTTCGTATTCGACCCAGTCCCCATCGCCCAGTTGGATGCGTTTAATCATGGCACTGACATCGCGGTTGAAGCGCTCTTGAACCTCGAGGTTGGCCTCGCGGATGTAGCGAGATGGCGCGCGTTCCTTCTTGCCGAGAATACTGCCGCTGAAGACTTCAAGTTCGGTGAGAGGCGCGCCACGTGTAGGACGCAGGGTATCCATAATCTCCAGCATGTTCGCTTCGTAGGTCTCACGCAGGCGCTCAGCCAGGTCCCAATGGTGATCCCACATCACTCCTCGCGTCTCGCGCTGAATATAACGCTTGAGCTTCTGGATTAGGGACTCGCCACCCCAGCGATTGCGGAAGGTTTCAAAGTCATTCTTCATCCTATTGAAAAACTTCCTTTCGTCGATGTCACGATAGAGGATACCGAGGATCTTGTCACTCTTGTAGTATCGACTCCTCGCTTTGTCGGCATCGAGTACACTGACGCCATCAGGGTCGTCGATATCGTCTGGCTCCAACTCCTCTAGCTCGGCAGCGCCCAGTTCATTGACAACGAGATTGGTGCCAGGTGCCATAAAGTCTGGACGGATATGGTCGAAACCGCGAGGTATCTTCGATATGTCGGCTGAGATTCCAGACTTGCTAAAGTCGACAGCATCTGATGCAAGCTGAGCAAGTAGCAAACACTCTGGATCATTGGTTCCCGTGGACTTGTCAGCTCGTATCTTGTGCTTGTTTGAGATCTGGCCTAGGCGATCCATATTCATGTACTCAATGAAGAAATCGACAATGTCGTTGACCTCTACCGGACGACCCAGGTCTTTTGCCCCATTCGATTTGTAGTCTGCAGGCGGCATAGTAAAGTCCGGAATAAGACGCTGGTCATAGATTATATGAAACAGGTCCCCATCCAGGTCTCCACCGCTAAGTTGCGAAGGAAGGTCGCGAGCGCCTCGTTGAGAAAAGACGACGCAATTATGCAGAGCTCTGAGAGACGAGTGTTCTGGGACATCTACTGCAGTGACGAGCTGGACGTCACCAGGATGAAGGGCTGGAGCTCTGGTGATTACGATGCGCTCACCGACAAGGATCCTTCTCCGCAGCTTGCCACTTTTATCGTAGTCTTGTGTTGCGATATAGACCTGACCCTCCTGAAGAAAGTTCGTCTCGTCCATAATACCGTACAAAAGATGGCCTTGTTCAATAGGAATCCGCGCACGATACTTGAGACTTCGCAGGTTTGTCATGGCTGCTACCTCCACAATGTCTGTCAGGAACCGGTCCGCATGGAAGGACAGGCCAATCTGGTGCATGAGCTCGAAAAGTCTTGGGACCTTGGCGTATACGCCCGAGTGTGAATATTCGAGGAAGCTAGCAGCATTCAACGGATGCTCAGTGATCATTTTCAGGGCGTTGACAGCCTCATCTTGCACCGCTTTGAAATTTCTCGCCGGTACTCCAAGATCCTCCAAGATCTTGATAAACTGATGGTTCAAGAAGACTTGCAGCGGTTTGTAGGCTGCACCACAGAGTTCCAAGTCGCGCCAGGTTTCTTTGGCAATGTACTTGGTCATACTCTGGCGAATGTGTAATTGCTCGCCTACCAATGACTCATCAAGCGACAAGACACCCTTTGCTCCGCGAAAGCGTATTTGCAGAATAGTTGGTCTCTGAGCCTTTCGCTCCGGGGGTAGAGTATTCCAGACTTTGCGAAGAATTTCTAGTGAAATTGTCCCACAGCCGTCGCTGAAAGTGCGCCCATTCCTTGCGATATCGGCCTTCGTCTCTGTGACATAGGCAGTACTCGGCACTGGAACAGAGAATATGGTGTCGGAAAAGGCCTGGCCTATTCTTGCTGAGCAGCGAGCACTGCAGTGTATGTGTGAGAAGTCGCCGAGGTCGCTAATGATATCTCTAGCACGGAACATGGTTCCATTCATCTCAAAGGGCGCCATAAACCAGGCCTGATGGCTGCGCAGTGAGGCATGGGAGAAACCGAGAAACTGGTAAGTTCGTCCCGCGACGAAGATTCCATGTTGAAGCACACTGCGGAAGCGCTCATAGACGTTGCCTTGCGAAGCTCGTGGGTCGTGGAATACTGAAAGTCCATCTTCGTCGGCGAAGAAGACTCTCATGAAATACTCTGTACGCGTGCCATACTTTCTCAGAATGCGGTTTGACACGTCCCAGTCTGGTCCTCGGAGTAGGATACCTGATACATTTAGTAAATCGCAATCATGGCGTGTCAAAAGGCGATACATACCAGTTGGGGTTACAGTAGCCTTATACGTCAGGGCGAGATGATGATGCTTCTTCTGTTTGACGTTCAACTCACGGGCTATCAGCTCACGTTTTTCGTTTTCAAGAATGGTCTCGCGGAGATTATGAGCAAGCTTCTGGGTTGTGAAGCTCTTTGCATCCTCTTGTGGAGATGGTGTGGGTATCTGTTGTCCTAGTTGCCGAACTGCATTTGCAGTCAAGTCTGAGCCATGCTGTTTGGCTAGGTGGTACACATAGGGCAGCAACTTGATGATATTCAACGGAGTAATGGTACCCTCCAGCATTAGCGCCGTTACTTGATAGCGGACTGCAAAGCTGAATGCTTGTGGGATGGAGGGATCATATGAGCAGAGCTTTCTCTCGACAACCCTATACTCATCCTCAATGCTGAATGTCTTGAGTTTCGGAACCATTGTCTTCCAACAGTATACTGCAGGCACTGAAAAGTCTTTGACAAAGTTCCAAGCGAGCCCAGCGTTTTCCGTGTTGGGAAAGGCGATTTTGTACACCATGCATAAGGCGGAATTCTTCGTATGCTCTGGACTCAATGCGCAAAGTCTCTCCAACCGAAGGGTCCTCTCTTTAGGTCCTAGGTTGAGTCTTGCGAGACTTGCAAGTACATCAGACATCTGAGGGGCATCCATGCCAGCGTACAAATGTAGATCATCGGTGGATTGAATGTTGTAGATCTTTGGAGGAGACTTCAAGGTGAACGTAATCGACCCGTGCCTCCCGTTTTCGAAGGAGGGGATGGTATGCTCCACAATAGCGTATGGGATATCAATCCTGCAATGCCAGTTGATAGGGTTGCCCGCCTGAAGGTATAACACCAAAGCAGATTTTCCAAAGGTCACGTAACCCTGGCGCCTGTCTTTGAACTTTTGGTCGAAAACAAGCTTTCCCATGTCATCGTAATCCCATACACCTGTCATGAGTGTTTGAAACGCCAACGTCGACCGACCTGATGTCTGTGGCTTCGGCGCTTGGCTTCCCATCTTCGACCTCATTGCCGCTTCTTTCTCTTGTAAGCTTTTGACTTTGAGTGGGTCTGGTTGTCCAGGCTTGTTGTTCATGCGGAAAGTGAGATTCTGGCCTTGGAAAACCATTGTGCGTAGGGGAACCTGCCTGCCGCGACTACCATATTGCTGCAGGAAACGATTCCCATTACCCGTACTCGGTACAGTGAGTATGGCCCACGATGATCGTCCATTCTGGCCACGGAACTTTCGAATTTCGAATACGACAATGTCAAATTGGTTCAACTTGTCCTTCAGGAAAACCTGTAGTTCAATGTGGTTGGCGTCTTGAGGTACCTAAGAAGAATGTCAATTAGCGCGTGTACTGGCTACGCCGCAGAAAGTCCGTTGGTTTGTGCAGTACTACTCACACTGGGAATGAAGATATCCATGGCGTCAACTGATTGCGCCTCGTAAGGCGTGACTCACAAGACGAGAAACCGAGAAAGCGTTGTCGAAGCGCCCTAGGGCTTCGAGGTGAGAAGGTACAAGGCTGGTGGGTACAAGGCTGGTGCAGTGAAAGATACAGCTGCGGTGTGACTAATTAGGCAAGTGGGTCCTCACATGCGGGGTACCCTCCGTGAATGGTGAAGTAAAAGTGGTTACAAATCTTCTATTGGTTTTCTAGAGCAATGGAAAGGTAAGTCCGCTGTAGTGGCGACTTGTTATGAAGCTGCTGTCTGTGGTCTTGTGCTCACTTGCTGCGGCAACGTGCAGGAGACAGGTTGACGACAGCAGTAGACCAACCAATACTAACAGGCTGTTCGGAGCCAACCAATTCCACATTTTAACACTGCGCCGGGCTTGAGAGTGGACATACAAGTGGCTAGCCGGACAAATAGGCAGTCCACCCATTGTGTTTGCAGCTGAGCCATACAGTATACCGTATGCGCTGATTGTTGTGGGCAGCCAGTCGTTATACGATTGATGATAGCCTCCCTCATGTTCGTAGCCAGCCACCAGCCCGGACGATGCATCGACTTCTGCCTTACGCATTCGCACATTTTACACATGTCCCTGACTATCGACAGTACTACTTTTTCTCATCCTCCTTGGCCGAAATCTCCCTCTTTTCCAATATCTTATCCACGATACCAAATTCGACTGCCTCTTGCGCATCCATGTAGTAGTCGCGTTCCATATATTTCTCAATCTCCTCCAGCGACCGTTTCGTTGTGAGGTGCGATTGATAGATGCGGTTCAGCTTGTCCCTTATCCTCAGGATCTCCTTTGCGTGATCTGCGATGTCGCTAGCCTTGCCTCTATATCCGCCGCTCGGCTGGTGTATCATGACTCGCGCATGTGGTAGAATATACCGCTGCCCTTCGGCGCCGCCAGCGAGCAATAGTGACCCCATCGACGCAGCAATTCCCATGCATATGGTGCTAACAGGGCTTTTGATGTAGTTCATGGTATCGTAGATGGCTAGACCAGCGCTGACGCTGCCACCGGGGCTGTTTATATACATGGATATAGGTTTCTCTGGGTTGTCGGCTTCAAGGAAGAGCAGTTGTGCGACGGCATTAGCGGACATGAAGTCGTCGACTTCGCCATTCAGGCAAATGATACGCTCCTGGAGGAGACGGGAGAAGATGTCAGATGTTTTCCAGCCTCCGCCCTAACAAGTCAGATACTGTCTACGTAGTGAGGAGCATACAATGGCCTACAGTCGTCTCGGTCACGTAGGGTATGGGCAGTGACAGCGCCCGAGGTGCTTCTCGGTCCGGTGGCTGGAATCCGAATTGCCTTCGTAAGCCGCCAGACGGTATGATTCGCAACGTGGCTGGTCTGGTGCATCGCCGGAATAGTGTCGCCATAGTGTGAGGGGTGGAGGTCCTCAGACCATTCATTTGGAGAAATGAGCGTGGGCAATGTATGTTAATAGTCTCCGCTATGACAAAGACACTCAGATCAGCTGAATCTGGGCTCTGTATCCGCCTGGTAAGACGTTTTGCTTGGTGAATGTCGCGTTCCGACAGGTGCGGACACAGGTGCGGACGCGGGCATCTTGGAAGGTACCTGAATAGTCGTGACGGGGCGCCAAGCCGGAGGTCCGACGTTAGTTAACATGGCGAAAGTTCAGCAGCACCCATTCCTGCATATGCTACTGCGTTTCTTTTCCTTGTCTCGCCTCATGCCAAGTCAATGGACTCACCGCCTGGAGTCATGCTCAAGGCCGGCTAGAGCTTTTGTGCGCTTCCAATGCCGCTTTTCCTCGACGCATATCCCAGGTCGCATTCTGAGGGGTAACGATCTGGGTCCCACGCGCGAAGATGATCACCAGACGTTTCGCGTCCGCAAGGACGAGCAGGCCAAGCAACTGCCACTATCGCCATTTCTGGATCCAGTAGTGTTGGAGGAGAAGTCGCGCTTTATACAGCCGAAAGCAAAGCCAAGTCTGCCCAACTTCACCCCGTTCCAGAAGAGGCTATGGGAGAATCCATTCGGTATGTATATATATGCTAGGTATCTGTACGAAGCACGACGCTGATTGCTTAGCCCACGCATTGGCAACACCTATCCGCCAGTGTCGCGCAACCCTCATTCTGCTTCCTACCACTTTCATGATGACTCTTCACGCCCGCCCGCACCCCGAAACCCAGGACCCGTGGCTCCTTCCAGTCTCGTTGACGACGGATCAGAAATACCTCGGGCCGCCGTTCCGCTTTGTCGGCAGACACCTGGTCACTGCGCATCTAGGCAAGAAGAAGGAATGGGAAAAAGCCATATATTCACGTATGGCGGAGAAGCTCAGCGCTCACAAGCTCAAAAAAATGGTTTGGCGGGAGGACATGGCAGACTTGGTACTAGACATGCTGCAAAAGAAACTTGCAGGGAAGCTGAGCTGGAACTTTGGCTTCCCGGGGCGCCTGATACCCGTTGCAAGTCCGCGGACTGAAGACATTGAAGCCATCAAGGACGTTTCTTGTGTACTCGTATTCCGCTCGCTTCGCACACCGATCGATGATCTTGTTGTTCAAGCCCATAACATTACAGCCGAACTAGATAAGTGGTCACGTTACTTTGCTAAGAGCTTTGCAGCAAAGCTAGATCCTCACACTGCTCTGGAAGTCACCCACACACCGCCTCTGTGGTACTCCGGTCCTATGGTTCCCAAACTACAAACTCGCCTACAGTTTCCGGAGCTCCACTTTCCTACCACAGTCTGGCGAGGCCAGAAGGTAGCCGTGTATAGCTTGGTCGACTTACTTGGAGAAGACAAGGCGAAAGCGATGATTGCCGGTAGCAGGTATGCAGATGAGGGCTGTGTGGTGATAAAGAGGGCGAGACACAACGTACCAGTCGAAATATTGCTCATGCAATTGCAGGCATATCTTGCCAGGCCAGGACTATGATCACTCGGTTCCTGCTCTATCTTCAAGCCGCAGCAATGCGTGATTACACTGTTGAGCTTGGAATGATGGATAAGCCTTCTATGCGCTACATTCAATGGATTCCGAAACCCTCGTTCATTGTCTTCTCCGAGTCTGATCTCGTTAATCCGAAAAAGTGCAAGTCCATCACCTCTACATACTTTTCGCAATGGTCCTTCCATACACCCTCGTGTACATACCCACACTTCTCAAAGCATCGCATGCTTGCCATATTTCCTCCCATCACACGACCCCACAGTCTGGTCACTTTCTGGCCGTTCTTCTCCCAGTTTGTAAAGGTCCACTTTGTAAATGCTCTCAGTACTTCTGTCGTATATCCTTTTCCCCAGTGTGCTCGGCCAATCCAGAAACCGAGCTCGGCGGTATGCACACTGACATCCACTCCGGGCTTGAGGCCGATACCGCCAATCACGACGTCGGGGGAAGAGACTTCACAGACGACAAAGTGTTCTTGATATGGACGTACCATATTCACCCTAATCCATGTCTCGGCGCTCTGGAGTGTGTAGGGATTTGGGAAAGAGAGGGCCATGTATTTGGTGACGAGGGGGTCGTTTGCATGCAGAGAAGTCCATGGGGCGTCCTCAAGGCACATTGGTCGAATGATAAGGCGCGATGTTGTCATGATAGGTGAGGGAAGTGTCTGATCCTTTTGTTTGTTCGTGATCTCGAGCTGGGACTCCATGGCCGCTGGATTCACCGGGGTTGTTTGACTGGCCATGCTGGTTGTGTACATTCGTCGCAAGGGAGTCAGTCGATAGTCAAATTATGTTTACTGGAACTACGGCTGCTTATACTCTCACGATATTGTCTGACTCACGCCTGTTGACCCAATGGCAGCGAGTGCGCGCTGCATTTATTGCGCCACCATTACATGGGGCGAAGCAGTCGCACCTTCCTGATCTGTACGTGGTTTGACTCTTACGATAAGGCAGCTAACTCATGTCGTTGAGGGAGAGGCAGCATAACTTCCGTAAGCAAGATATGACCAAGAGCTGAACCCACTCCGGATCAGCCATGGAGAGCCGCCAGTGAAAAGGAAGAGGGGTGACGTCGCGGGGCATGCACTAGCGCAGCGCGCTAAAGCGCGTGTTCCCCATGGGCATGTCACCACGAGACATTCTTCCATCGCAATCAACGACGAATTCATGGCGTCCTTTGTAGCAAAGTAGGTTTATGCCCTTGCGTCTGTTTCCCAAAGCTGACAGCCCTAAGGAAAGTTGTTCGTACCTACTCGCGACAAACTAAACGCCCACTATACAATGAAGAACCGCCGACTAAGCGAAGACGCGTCGAAGATAAATCACAAAGCATCGAGACTGCAACTGTAGAATCATCGACCAATGCGCAAACCCTCAATATTTCGTCTCCCACACGCGAATTCTCTACACCACCACCATCAAGCCCGAAAGACTCGCCCGCAATCTTCTCAGACGAACCGCCACGGTCTAGTCCCCCATCGTCCCCAACGCCGCGCAGCTCTCCTCCGCGCCCTCAGAAGAGACGACCCGTGTTCTCGATTTTCAAGAAACAAGCTAAACCAAAGACACTTGCGGAACAGCCGCTATTGGAACGAAGCGACAATGCTCAAACATCACCCAAGGCAGGACCCAAGAAGAAGCACATGGTGCAAATGCAGCTAGATCTAGCTTCAGAGACGCGGAAAACGTGCAAAACTTGTGGAATGCAATACATACCCTCCAATGCGGAGGATGCGGCGCTACACAAGAAGTTCCACGCGATGAATCTTGGGGGTGTGGACTTCACAAAGGCAGTTATTGAACGGTTCAGAAAAAACGAAGTATGGAGCGGCGGAGGTGGAAGCTTCATTGCTGTTGTCGGGCGCAAAGATGGGCTGGCACTGCGCAACCGGGCGGGTGACGTGCTCAAAGTTGTGACTACGGAGCTTGCAGCTGTGCCTATATCAGACGAAGAGCTCTGGAGTCAGACCAACAATGCAGCCATGGTGTCTAGTTCGGAGAGAGAAACCAAACCCGCAAAGACAGACATAGTAGCAAAAGACGAAGGCGCTTTACCCCTGTTTGATCGATTCAAAGTCTACCTGTATTTCCAGGGCAACAAGTGCATAGGGGCATGTTTAGCAGAGCGGATATGGGAGGCCTATTCGGTCCTTGAACCAGCCGCTCCGTCTGGGCAAAGCTCCTCAATCTCCATTAGTAACCAGTCGGCTCCGGCTATCCTAGGCATCTCCCGCATATGGACATCGAACCAGCATCGGAAGAAGGGCATTGCGACGAGGCTGCTAGACTGCGCTAGCTCCGATTTCTTATACGGATTCAAGATTGATAAGGCCAAGGTTGCGTTCAGCCAGCCGACGGAGAGTGGAGGGAATCTGGCGCGCAAGTGGTTCAGTAGCCAAGCCGGATGGCATGTATACATGGACTAATGCTATGATGCCCAAGGCTCCGCTGATACGAAAGCTTGTTTTGCTGGCTACTGTGAGCAAGTTGTAGCTTTCGCTGTGCTGAGATGACATGTGCCGAGTCATTGACAAAGGCTACCAGAAATTCAATAAGTCGGCGTCAGATAGCTGGCAGCGATGCGCTATGTATTTTTCTAATGACAGTGTGCATGTCGATTGGCAGGGCAGTTCCAAGGCGCTGTAGGCGGTATAGTGGGGTCTGTTCGCTGTCCCGCGATCGCCAGCACCTGCATGTCGGGGATGGTTGACTTGCAGAGCCGACCATAAGCAGCATCATCTTTCCTGCGCTGCTCCTTTACCACCACTTTGCGCGTGCTTCTTCATGTACATAGAATAATGCATTGTTTTTAACACCATCATGTCGTCCGGGAACCCTTTTCGCACCTCCCAAGCCTTCCATCAGCCCCCGTCCATCCCGCAGGCTTCCTTCATCAACACCGATATCAGCGTGCCCAAGGCTCGCAGGGGGGAGAGCGACTATGGTATTCCCTCGCCTTGCCTTGCTGCGTCTGCTGGCAATGAATGAAGGAGTAATTGTCTTACAGTGCTCGAAAATGCCGCCTCGCCGCCGCCAAAGACAAAGAAGTCCGTCCGCATAGTATCTCCGACTACGACCATCTCACCGCATCCGGACTTCGGCCATGAAGATGTGACGCTGAACGAGCTCATGGCTAAGCGATCGAGCCAAGGGCCACTCTCGAGCCCTCCGCCTCCCGTAACACCTGCCGGCTTTGCCAACAATTCAATCACCGCGAGCGAAGCGAATGCGCAAGTCGTGGGGAATGACGCCATGGCTACAGCAGACATACTGCCGAACTCGAGTTCATTACACAATCGGCCGCAGGCAGCTCTATCTCCGGGTAGGGTGCCGCCAAACCCGTTTGCGAAAACACTGGCATCTCTAGAATCGCAAGAGAAGGAAGGCGCCACCGAAGAACGGAAGAGCGCCCAAAGGCCGTCACCAGGCAACAATAGGGCATCTCTAGATGTGGAGAGCTTCAAGAATCTGCTTCTGACTGGCAGACCGACTCGGCGTCCTTCCGGTTCGTCCGCGCAGCCTACGAGCGCAGGTGGCGCACATTTGGAAAGTAGCAGCAGCACAGATACCTCGTCGATATCGCGACAATCAATCTTTGAGCACCCCCAAGAGATACATGATGAGTCTCCACAGACATCAGTTGATACGCTAGAATCAGACGAGGACGATCGTATGGGGGTCGTGTCTGAAGCAAACAAGGGCAAAAAGAAGCCCCCGCCTACACCAAAGCATCGCCATGGCAAGCTCGTCACGCAAAGACAACCACAGATAGTTTCGTTCGACAGTTTCACAGCTACTGAGCCTGCATTTCCTCCAGTTATTCGCAGAGCAGATAGCTCAGACACAAGTAAGCCGCTTCCACCTGCGCCGGCTATTCCGCAGTCGCCCCGTATCAATACGCAGGAAACTACTCCAATCCAGTCACCTCCAATACGGCCAACGCAGGGAGACTCACCTACGACATCACAAGGTCAGACAAGGCCGAAAAAGACGCCTCCTCCTGTACCTTTGGCTCGGAGACAAAGTCAACTCAAGACGTCCACAACCGGAAGCAGAGCACGAAGCAGTTCCAATCTCACAATATCCTCACAACACTCAGTCGACGGCCTACAGAGTCCGGTTCCAAGTAACTACGATCACAGTCCAGGAGCAGGAGCCAGATCACCACCTGCGCCACCACCCTCTCGTAGGGGAGCTCGATTAGCAAACCTCGGTGACTCAAGTGCCAACTCCTCCAGCACCGAACTTCCCCAACGTGCAGCCTCCATCCGCACACCAAGATCTGTTCCAGAAACTATTCCATCACCTCGTCAATCCACTCAAGAGTCTGAACCCCCCTCGCCTGCACCCAGCATCCACCGCTCCTCCTCCATCTCCTCGACGCGAAGAGCACCCCGCAATGTTTCGGGTGGAAGCACAGGCAGCACAATGCCACCCCCTCCGCCACCACGCCGCCGCCAATCTAACCGCTCTAGCCTCGACCAACCACGCCCTTACGTCCCCTCTTCCTCATCACCCACTGAGAGTCGGCGAACGAGCACAGAGTATCGTCGTAGCAGCACAGAGATCAGACGCACGAGCGTGGCTAGCGATCGCCGCAGTTATGCGACTGTGGATGAAAAGGCGGAGAATGAATATGCCCTATACTCACCAAACGAGGAGATTGAGAAGAGGCTGGGTAGTAGTGGTGATGAAAATGCTGGTGTGAATAGTAGTGGTGGGGGAAAGGAAAGTATGGGCATAGAGGCGAGAAGCGATTCCAGCAATATTCTTGATGATATGGAGAAGTTTCAGAGAGAGATTGATGCGTTGAGGGTCAAGTTCAAGCAGGCCGGGTAGTATGAGAGGAAGCGACTGCTCATGATGGTGTAGGAATATAAGTAGGATTTGCTGGAGTCGATAGGATATGGTTAACTGTTGTTGCAGTCTACAATGCGCGCATGTATGTGTTTATGCATGGGAATCGGGATCTATCATTAGCTACATACTCAGTAGAGCAACCCATATTCTCGGAGTTATCATTATTTGTCGCATAACATGACCCGAAACGATCATAGTGCCACCTCATACAGTGACATGGAGACGGCATGCACAAGCCATTCCCTATTAACCTTTCCTCCAATCACCCTTTGCCTTTGTTCATCCTTGTATACTCTTCCACGGTGTCATCTCAAACAGTGACATGGGGACGACGTGTACAAAGAGATTAGACGACCACAGCCAAGGCTGCGGCGCCCATGGCGACGAACGAGCCCATACCGAGAGGTGTTGCGAGAGCGGCTGCGGCGGTCGAGACGGTGTTTGGCTCAGGCTCACTAGGCGCGCCTGAGGACAACGGAACCTCGACCGTGGTAGTAGCGGAAGCTTCTGACGACTGAGGAGCGCCGGACTGAGAGACAGGGGCACCAGACTCAGAGGCAGGGGGAACGACGACGGTAGCAGATGCGGAGGCAGTCGAGACGGCACCAGGACCCGAGGGAGCAGCACCTGAAGTTGGCTGTTCTGGAAAAAACTGGACAACACTCGTGGTACCGGGCAGGCCAACTGAAACTGAGGAGGTGGGAGCGGGCTCTCCAGGCTTGGTGCTGCAGTTGCAGTCGGTGACGGTAGCGGTAACAGTGATGGGAGCACACGCTGTGAGACAATGTTAGCTTTGTGTTACGTATACATTGGAGTATAGTGACCACTGATGTGGATATGGGTTTCACAAAAACGATCAATGTCAAAGCGGGTACGCCGTGACCGCCAGATAGGGAAGATCTGTGTTTCGTATGCAATCCCGCTCAATGGACATGTTTACTTACACTCCGTGGCGACAACAGCCAGCGCAAGCGCGGCGAAAGCGAAGAGCTTATAGCCGAACATGTTGATAGCGGTAATTTTGCTTTGCAAGTGGAGATGGCAGTTGAGTAGAGCTGGATTGAAAATGTTTGCTTTGAATTGATGCAGCTGCAGAGATGATGAAGCGGTGGGTGGGATGTGTGTGTTGGGAGAGAAGAGCTGGTAGCTGTGCGGAAAAGTTGTTTATATTGGGTGCAGGCAGTGTTTGCAAGCACGGCCAAAATCTGCTCCGGTGGCAGGTAGCAGACTGGCTGGGAGGCAAGAAGTGAAAGTGAAGGCGCGATTGTGAGTGGGGCGCGAACGCGTTGTTGTGACATCAAAGCAAGAGCATCTGTATTACCGTCTCGCCCATACAGATTGTGAGTTCAACGACTCAGATGCAGGTAGCCTCTCACGTCCTTCTGTCACGCATCAACAGACTTGTTACTGGAGCAGCCCAATTGGATGCCTTGTAGAACAGTGACAAGATGACGTAGGCGGTGGGAGGTGCGAAGAAGCTGTGGCAGGGCCTGCGTTTGCTCTTTCCATATCCAGACCGAGTTGGCAATCAGTACAACAGAAGATGCCTGCATCATCTACAACTTTATGCAGAGCACTATATCCACAGCATTGCGTACGGTGCGCCCCCAAGAGGAAAATTTCATAGTTGAACTGCAGTGGCTAGTGAAGACATCTGAGTAGCGGCTGGTGATGTGCACACTTTCTGGTATTACCTATAAAGAAACATTCAAGGACATTTATTCGTAGAAACAGACTGTGAAGAAAATTGGACTACACAACAAAACCTACGAAAAGAAACTGGAAATGTGAAATTCGAAAATTTAGCTATACTGACCAGTTTAATATACAACACCACCACCAGCAGAAGATTATACATGGTCTCCACAACCATCACATCGCAACCACCTCGTCAGAACTCTGCTGTAAACGCAAGCGGTAGTGCCGACATGTGTCCGGTTTTTGAGTGCCGTCGCGATATTCGTTTCTAATAACCCGAAGCGTGCTAGAATCGACATCCAGAAAGAGACAAGATGCTAGCGTGTCAAGCATAGGCCATCGTCGGATTCCTTGCGATCCATGCCGTACATCATCCCCATGCTGGACGGTGGTACCTCCCCATTGAGTGATTTCCAGAGACGCCCCAAACGCTATGCCTGATCACGCCATAAAGTTTACAAACGGCTTCTTTCTCTGCTCAAAGTTAGCCCGAAGAGCCCCAGACCGTTTCGACTGCGCATGTGTGGGCCAGAGCACCAAGATAACCACGTTCTAGGCCGAGCCTTCTAGTCTGTTTATCATTATCTCCTTCTTTCCTAAGGCATGACACATGGTACTTGGGCACTCAAGACGGCTAAATCAGAGGGATGCGCGATACAGTACAAAGATCGAGATCGAGTATGCCGAAGTACGCGAGTCGCAATCTTCTTCGTTTAAATGAGCAGGACAGAAGTTAGCTCACATTGTTGAGCAATCCGACGTGTGGGGAGCCGTGAACTTGACGCCATGAATTTTCCAATTTGACAGGCGAAGTTACCTGTAAAAGTATGTGTTTCGCCATTATATAGGCCGAACTCCCTTAAGATGGTCGCTGTGCTTGCCCTTAAACCACTTCCTAGGACAAATTTTCCAAAGCAATGGCAATGAACGACGGAACGTAGAAGATCCCGACTAATATGGGCATGTGTGGATGACAGCCGGTGCTAGTCATCCACATTGACATGGTGGAACGACGGGATAGTGGCTTGTAGAGACGCGAAGCCCTGCTTCCTGATTTACCCAGCGTGTCGGATCCTGTCAAAAGCTCTTTCTTATCCCACACTACCGTGTTTACGTATGGAACTATCCTAGCAACTGGCGTGCTATTGTCCCGCTACGCGGAAGTCGGAGTATTTGTTGCAGCTATAGGCCCGATACGAGCTGCATGTGCTGTCTTGGCCTATCTACGCGGTGTTGAAAACATCCGTGTGTGCGAACGATTGGCGTCTGAAGCCCACAATGGTAACCTGCTCAAGGTAGGTACTGGTAGAAGCGTGGCTAGTCAGTAATCAGTGGTCTGAGGTTACAAAGCCCAGAACTTCTAGGTACATACGCAATGCGCCTGCAAGTGCAACAGAGGAGATAAAGCGCCGAGGCAGATGACCCCTGGACCCCTCAACGGTTCCTTGCTTCCATGGATGGTCACCCCGCTCAACGCGTATTCGTGCCGACGCTCACTCTGTCGACGCTCGGTTTCTGGTGTCCATGGCGCTGCAGTCAGCAATGGCGCACGGAGAGTGAGCTCGGAACCAGATGCTGCAGTTCGACGCTAGTCTGTTAGAGGTAACTACTAGAACCTAATTTTTGGTGACGCCTGGCGAGCTTGTCAGGTAGCAGATGTTACTAGGCCCTTGCAGCAGCTGGCCTTGGACTGATGACTGTTCAGATGTCTATGAAGTAGCATAATTCGCCCGTGTAGAGGCCGAAATCTCGTGTTAGGTCCGGAAGCATCGTTCCTGAACGGATTTTAAGGCAGTTACTCCCGATAGCGGGGCTGTGCGGCCGATCTCGTGGCAAGCTTGACAAACCAACCCCCCCCCTGCGGGGGCCGAAAACAGGAAGCCAGTATTGCAATCTCGACAACGGTTCAGGCCCGTTGGCAGGCGGAGAGAAACACTGGTACGGAACAGTCCTAGTGGTGTGGGTCTGCATGGGTTCAGCAAATTCTGGGTGCTGGACCGTTGAAGGAAGCTCGCTCCGGTCTGCTGACAGTTAATTGCTTTGCAGGTCACCAAAACTTAGCAACCGCGCCTGCGACAAGCTAAGGCAGCGGACTGAAAGCATCGACGTCAGCCCGAGCTTTTGCAGAATAGTTTTCATGTGCATGAATGAATCGTATGAGATAACATGAGGAGCGAGAGCGGAGGTATTTTGATAGGCAAGGAGTTGATGTCCGAGGCTTGGATGGTGCCGCACTCATTGCATACCGCGGAGCGCGAGGTACTTATCGGCACCGAAGCTATTTCACGTTTCGCAATTACGGCATGTAGATTGTTCCCAAGCTTGCCGTGGAATTCGAGACGTTCCATTTTGAGTATAGGAGAACCGGGAACGATTGGGGAAGCCGAGCGGCACTGTCCACCGGAGTTAAGGCGCGGTGCGCGTCGTCAGCAGCCGTGTTCCGCAGAATGCGGGACACGTCAATCATCAGAATCTGTAGTAAGAGGACTATTGTTTAGTAGGAAGCCCTAGGGTGATGAGACTCTAGAGGTGCCAAGTCGTCGTGGAGCACAAGCACGGTAATGGTAATGTTGGTATAGTCGCATATAGTATAGTAGAGGATGCGCATGTCGTCTGTACGACGTAAGCGCTCCACTTGCCGCATTCATGTTGGACTCGCCCATTCGCAGGGCACGAGGAACTGCATGTTCAGATGACATTGCAGCCTCGCTTTAATTCCCATGCTGAATCGGCAGAATGCCATGGTAATCACTGCGTCTTTGAACCGCTTTCTGGGAGGCCGCTGTTGGAGGTGCGGCAACGAAAAGCCGCTGTGCAACGTGCCCTCAGACAAAAGGACTATTGTGTCCGCCCTGAATGCAAGATGATGCATCTAAATACGTGGTGGGATAAGCGTGTGCGCACCATGTTCATATAATCTTCCATGTGGTTGAGATGGACAGTGGCCAATCATATACGACGTCACACTCGGGTGAGGTTCATGCGAGGCATAGGTTGTGTCCCCGCGGAGAGCAACGTGGATCCTGCGTCACCCAACGACGATCTGGAGATATGAGCTGGTCCCTAAAGACGGGTAATGCACAAAGTCAGATCTGTATAGCAGCCTTTCAGCCGGTCAGCCGGCACAGAACTAGAGTACCAGTACCGAGATTAAGCAGTACCGTGCTCCAGATGGATGTGCAGCCCTATGGGAAACGAGCAGTTTGTGTTGCAGCGCGTAGCCCCGCTCCCTGTCAAGCCTGGGTCCGTCGTGCACGGGGGTCAAGCTGGGAGGGTGTTTAGTCAACAGTGGGATGTATCGTAGATGAAAGTGCAGTGAAGCACCGAGCATCCACAGCTCGTCCGGTGGTTAGAGAAGCGACGTGATCGACGACGGAGAGATTTCATCTCAGATCTTAAGGGTATGGTGGGGTTGTGGATTGTTGGGCTTGGACTGGTTGCTGCGTGACGCTTGACAGGCCCCGGCGATCTGGCAAGGGGAACGCATAGTGGGGCACGGCACCAATGGAAGCCGGGTGTGGAAGCAAAACACGCGGTAAATGACGTGGGTGGGCAGCCGGGTCTTGCGGAAGAAAGCCACAAGTGACAAATAATGGCGAGACCATGTTAATTTCCTGGAATGGGCCCACGGCAAGGAGTAGTGGAACGGCACCATGTGCATGGGCCGTGGTGTTGAATGGACATGCGGTTTGTTTTTGGGTGCCGCCGCTGACTCGGGATTGAGTTGGGTGCCAAGGGGGAAGATTTGAAGAATAGTAAAGGCTGTGGAACCAGGGAGTCGGCGACTGCGGTCTGTTGTATTGAGAGATCGGCGCGCACGACCTGGCGGTAGAGTTCCCAAGCGGCTTCAGAGGCCTCGGGCTTGTGTGAAGGGTATCGATCAGATCGGCGCTAGGCCCAAAGTGTACCTCGCGTATCGTGAAGTTCAGTTTGTCCAGGGCAGACCCGGTTGCGGAGGGCGCAGGGGATGAGATTTGCTGAGCACGAGATTCGCTGGGTAATGGAAACCCGCTGGCTGCTTTCGCCCATGCCATGTCGCAAGGGGTAAAGGTTGCGGACGCGGCCACCAGCCCCAAGCCTTCCTAGCGACCAAGAAATGTGTTTCAACGTTGGCTACCATTCGTCGCACATTTTACCGTGCAGGGCAAGGGCTGAGTTCAAGCCGTCCAGCGCCATGCAGCACCGTCAGCGGAGAGGTGCAGCGGGTACAAGCCAACGGTAGCGCGACGGATGCGCCTCCAGCAGCGAGAGTGAGAGTGTGCGGACGGGCCACGCACTTTACGTGGGCATGGGCATGTGTTTTCACGTTTGGCCCATCAACATGTCACGGGGTTTGCACTGGCAGTCGGTAGTCAAGTAGCGGTTAGTGAGAAATTATAAGTCGGCGGTGTGGTTGGTGTTGAGTAATCGGTGAGGCAGGGCGTGGACTTTTTGACTTTAGGCCGTCCAGACTCGGATGGATGGGGTTGTGGTGGTCTTACAGCGTCTGCAGCTGGCGACGACAAAACAACGTCGGACGGAGTCTCTCACTCTCATCCACGCGGCTCGTCTATCGGCGGCAAGTGCCACAGAGATGCTAGCGTGCTCGATCGCCAGATGGCTAAGGCCTATGGGCGTGGTGTTTTTGCGAGGCCGCTGCAGATGCCGAGGATGATACGTCGGCCGGCGCCCGCTATTGAGCCTGGCAGCGGGCTAGCCTCAAACGCAGCTCCAGCTCCCTACAGCTCTGAGAGCTCAAGCTCGCCGACAAGGCCCTGCTTGAGGGCGTCGGATGCTGACCCGCCCTCTGTTGTTGGCTGTGCTGCTGCCTGAGGCGGCCGCGGGGACGGGGGGATTGCTGGCCTCGCTTCCCTTGCACTTGCACTTGAGTGTGGGCTCCAAATCACACGAGCCTGCATTGCTTCTTTTCTTGCTGCTATAACACATACATAATGCTGGGCAAGCCCTCGATTTGCACCTGCAGCCGCCCTCTCCCACCATCGCTCCCCCAAAACCCCTCATCCGATCTCAGGTGTCCAGGTTCTAGCAGTGGCAGCAACCAAAGCCGTGTCGATGCATGCACAAGCTGTTTACTGCCATCACAACAATAGCCAGTCTTGGGCCGCCCTAGCACCCGCCACCCAGCACCCAACCCTGGCCTAACCTCGCCCGGCCCGCACACGTCAAGCGTCTGCGCCCATCGGAGCCACTTAGGCCGCTCGATCGCTCACACCCCAGTGGCAGTTCCCCCATCATCACACCAATCCTCAGCTCCTGCGGCGACTTTTGGCCGCACTCCTGCGCAGAACGTCACTCGTCGCCTATCTTGCTGCTGTCCGAACCCTGTCGCGGTACGTGAGCGTTCAAGCCTCCGCTCTTTTTCGGCCCATCTCTAGGCCCTTGACGCCGCCCTCAACTTCCGTACCCGCCTGGACAGTCGCCACTTTTCCCCTCCTTCGTTTACTTACTTTGCTCGCCCGCTCCCGCCGTTTTCCCTCTCCTTCCCTTCCCTTCCCTCATCCCTCACAGTCGAAGTCGTTGCTAGACGTACCCCTCGAACTGTCCAAACTCTGGTGTTGCAAACTACCCCTCCGCCACTCACATCCATTTGCCACACCACTAGTTCCTACACATACCACCTGCTGTCCAAAACTCCATCATGCCTGCTGAACGTCGA